GTGATGGGAAACCCGCGGGGATTACAATTGAGATGGGAAAAAAAAAATGTACAAAATGATGTAAAAATAAACTGTTATAAAATAAAAAAATTAAATAAAATAAATACTGTTATTAAAAAAAAATCACTGCTCTAATTCTTCCACACTTACTGGTCATTCTACCTAGCTTGGATACAATGGAAATTGAGATGAAAATTTTTCTGTTATTCTGCTATATATCTATAGTCATTCAATTAATATTTCAGGCTAAAATATCCAAGGATGGGGATTAATAATCTAAGTTAATTGTTCTCATTCTTGGCTGCACATCAGAAACATTTGTAAAACCTAAAAACTTACATTAGACATAAAATTCAAAATCTCAAGAGACAGGGCTTAGGTAATATATGTACATACTCCTAAACATGTATTAACTGACTCCAAAATGCTGACAACCATATTCTAAGACAGTGGTTCTCAGAGTGTCATCCCCTGATAAGTAACATTAGCACTACCTGAAAATTTGTTTAAAATCTAGGTCTTACCCCAGACCTACTGAATCAGAATCCTTGTACACGAAGTCCAGCAATCTGATTTTTAACAGGGTTTCCAGGTGGTTGTGGTGCATACGCAAGTGTATAAACCAATGGGCGGGGGGGAGGGGGGGGTGTGTGCAGCACAATGCTATACGGTTATACAAAGGTGAAAGAGGCAACTCTAACTCTACAACAGTGAAAATTTTCTATACCTGGGATAACTCTGAATCTCTAAGGCTGTTAACTGACCCAAAGAGGCTATTTCTTTCACACTAAGCAGAAAGTAAAATAAGGACTTTAAACCATAGCGAAGAGAATATAAATAAAAGTTGACATAAGTGCCCTTTTATAACAATAGGTGGCTGATTTAAAAATATTTCAACTTGAACCTCCCTAGTGGCGCAGCGGGTTAAAGCACAGCACTGAGAAGCTAAAGCCACTTCCGCATGAGTTCGATCCCCGCCTGCCCCGGAAGTGATCCACACAGCGTGGCAGACCTCTCCTGACCCGCTCGCTGCTCCCCTCAGCAGTGTACTTTGTCCATCTGCCTGTTCTGCTCCCCACTCTGTCTCTGGTGAAGCCTCTTGCCACCCCTGAGCCTCTGGCCTGTACCCCAGTTCTGTGTGTACAAATAAATAAATCTTTAAAAAAAAAAAAGTATTTCAACTGTTCAAAAACCTGAGCTAAAAATAGTAAAAATAAGCCATTCTTTCTTGGAAACTAGAGTTTTTTGCTATAAAATAGCTATATTGACTTACTATTAAAGGCATTGATAAATCGCATCCAACATACTTAAGTTGGATTACAGAGAAAATTCCTGGAGGCTTACAGTTATGAGTAATTTTTCACTTAATATCAAAAAAAGGAAAACTTAAAAGTCTTAGACAGGCCCTCCCTGGTGGCGCAGCGGGTTAAAGCACAGCACTGAGAATCTGAAGCCACTTCCGCATGAGTTCAATTCCCGCCTGCCCCGGAGGAGACCACATGGCGAGCCAGACCTCTCCTGACCCGCCCGCTGCTCCCCTCAGCAGTGTACTTCGTCGATCTGCCTGTTCTGCTCCCCACTCTGTCTCTGGTGAAGCCTCTCACCGCCCCTGAGCCTCTGGCCTGTACCCCAGTTCTGTATGAATAAATAAATCTTTAAAAAAAAAAAAAAGTCTTAGACACCAGGGAAATAACAGCTAGAACGAGAGGCTGATCACACTAATCAGTTAAAGAATAACCACTGTGGTATTAAGTCTGCAAAAATGCGAATACCAAGGGAAAACATGGTATATTCAATGGCTAATGAATGGAGTGGTGGTCTTTCTGTTTTGTAACCAGCTCTAAAAATACCCAGCATCAAGAACAGGGTAAATTTTTTGAATTTTTAAATTTTGTCACCTACTATATTGAAACATTATAAGGCCCTTATTGATGTATCAGTGTCCTTTAAGCATGTATCTTAAAACAGTGTATTGCATTTTATTGTGGATTTTAGTAACAAAGATGTTTGGTGGGAATATAAAATTACCACTTTTAACTGGACCTGTTAACATTTTAGACATACAATATTACACAGTAATCAAATACAATTGCACTTACTTGTGGTAAGTTGGTACAACATCATGGAACAAATGGAAGATATTCCTCACAGAGTAGAAAAGTTGAACAGCACTAAAAGGGAAAAATGTTCCAGTAGAAATGCATAAGGACATATTGAAAATGAGGGGAAAAAACCAACTAAATGCATCTTAAGTAAAAGTCAGCTAAAACTCTAGTTGGAGGGAACACATGTGTTTTGATCACTCCTGAAAATACTACTAATCTAAATGGAAAAATATTTCAACCAGTATTTATAACTTCACTGTAATCCTTAAAGTCTAGGTCCATTAATAATTTAAAGAATATCAGCATTCACCCCCAAAGCCTCTTTTCCATTTACCAATTTGGGTTGTGCCAGTACCCAGAGTATCCCTTCAGCAAAAATGGAGCTAAGCCTCAAGCAAATGTCAACTACTCACTGATGCACTCTGCAAAGGGCAAAGTATCAATAAAGGCATCCACTTGGTTCTTTTAGAATTAGTCTGACTTTCAGCTTTCACCTTTATTCCTTCTTACCCCATGCAAGATGAATCAACATTTCTAGGAGATTCTAACCTCATATTTTGCCCTTTAAGTCTGGCCTTAGAATGCCTAAAGATTATTATTAAAATGCACAAAGATAAATATAAGATTTGTGTAGCTTACTTCTACATATCTTAAACTATGTACCTTAAACAAGTCACAAGCAATTCCACAAATATTTAGAAGGTATCCCTCTACTCCCAAATACTGTTATTACTTGGTTATTGTGAAACTTGACTAAATTGTTTTATTTTTGCTGTATATGTTGCTGTTCAAGGTTTACTAGATAGAAGTGGTTTTGTCATACTACATTGTTGTGCTATGTGTTCTCTTAGAAACTATTTCTTTTAGTGGAAAGACTAAAAGTATTCAAAAACATTGCTTAATGCTGTGTTCTCAAAAATTTTAGGAAATATTACTCTAAACTCTGATCTGGTATAATTCAGGTGAATGCCATGTGAAGAAATAGTGACTCCTATATTTATTTAGCCAAAGGAGTACATACTTCCTTTTACATGTATTTTTTCCCAACTTAGAATTAAACAGGGTGGGTTTGTGAAATAATGATTCACTAAATTCATGGAAGTATCCTGGTAAATATGTTCTTTTCAAAGCAGAATAAAATAAAGTGATTTGTTTGCACAGAGATAAAAACTAATTCTGAAAGCCCATCTGAAGATGCAAACTGATTAAGCAGCCCTAACTGAATTTTCATTTCCTATAAAGATGAAAAGTAAAACTCTGCTACATGTAGATTCAAACTAAAAAACTTGAGCTACCCCCAACTACAATGTAAATTGATAGAAATCGCCTTAAAAGGATGAAATCTTTGGTACACTTCATTCTTTTCTTCTACCTTTGGCTACCCAACAAATTATTATTGCTTGGAAAATGTTTAAAATATAAACCCTAGCTAAAGCCAGAGTTTCAAGAAGTAAAATCAAGGTTAAACGAAAGGTCTAGAACAGACTGGAGCACACAGTACAACTATTATCACCACCAATATTAATTAACATGTGAGCACTAATTACTTTCCAGATAGCATTCTAAGTTCTTTACACACGCTTCATTCAACAGTAAATAAAAGAATTAAAGAACCTTTCATTAAAAGTGATTAAAAACTTTGTCCATCCACACACATGCTTCTATTTCTTAGTCCTAGTATAATGAATGTCATTGTCAACATCAGTGTTCTGCACTGTTTTTCTAGAAAACAAACGAAAAGACTGGGGTAAGACACAAAACACTAGCTAATCTTCCTAGTACCTAGTTTAGATCTGCACTTAGCCAAGTTATTGCAGTTTCAGATGACTCAGAATTCATACCACTGATCACTGCTGGTTGTTGCCTCTAGTAAAGTCTGATATGCAAGTTCCATTAACTTCTGTACAGATTCACTGATGCGACATGATGGCAAAGAAAAGGAATGTTGGTCCAATGTATTTTCAGGTTCTAAATTCATAACTTTGTTGTACTGAGTTGGGGACACTTTCTGTACTTCTAGCTTGTTATCTTCATCAGGACTGGGTAAGTCTGGCACCACTGTCTTACAGTCAGGAGTAATCTAAGATCCAAAACAGAAAAGACACTGTCATCAGAGTAGTTCAAAGACAAACATGTAGCCAGGAATAAGACACTCTCTATAGAGTAATTAAAAGATGAATAAACATGTTAGTATTCTAAAGATTGCTCAATCTTGATAGAATGTCCTAAATCATCCCTTTAGTGTGTAATTGAGCCAAGCACTTTTAATCTTACTGGAAATTACCAAAGCTGTGAAACTGGCCCAAGAAAATGAATCAGAAATCTTTTTTTTTTTTCAGACTAGCATACTTTGTGTTCCAGCGTCCTTAAAATTTGAATTTTTAAAAATAATTTTAAACAAATTATTTCTAACAAGGTCATAGGCTGGCTTAGTCAGAGAAATAATGTATTCAGGCTATCATACCCTTTCTCAACAAATTCAAACCAAAAAAGGCGTATGCAAAATGAAAAATCCTAGATTTGTTCAAGGATAGATGAAAGAATACTAAGCTATAAATCTGGAAATATCAATGATATTTTTGACCCAAACTTTTAACAAAGTCAGTTATCAATTTTTTCACTGTAAAATGGAGACAGTGTACTGTATTATGATTTTTCAAGCCCTGCTTCTCAAAGTTGCTTCAGGAGCCTCAACGAGAGTTTTAGCAGGTGTAAGTGGCAGGTTGCCTACCCCCACACCACAAGAAAAACTACTCTACGCATACTGCACCTGCACAGAAAAATTTTTAAGTCAAGAAAAAGTTTTAAGTCAAGTAAGTAATCAGACTCACATTTTTGATCTGTAAAATGGTCGACTGTATTTATAGCACTAATGTGAAATAAAAATGAGAATTTACATATCAGGAACATGACAGCCAAATTTATGGTTGAAATGAAACGCAGATGAAAAAACACAGAAATGATTAGAAAAAAAATGCCATTATAAATAACGGACCTAAAATACATAGGCCTCAAAAAATGGCAGTAATGAAGGTAAAGGAAACTAAGATGGAAGAATGTAAGATCTGATATGGTACCTATCAGCTAAAATGTAACAACAAAAGAAATTTAAATCATTTTGGAAAAACAGTGGGTAAAGATACTGTTTTAGTGCTAATTTAGATAAAAAGCATGACAGATAAATAAGCTTTCTTTTTTTTTTAAAGGAGAGGAGTTTTTCCCAAAGTTGAGCAGTTTAGAAGATCTAATTCCAGCGTCTAGATGCCAAGAGAAAACACCATGCTACAGTCTAGTGCAGTGGTTCTCAAGAAGAGACAATTTTGCCCTCCAAGAAATATTTAGCAAAGTCTGGAGACACTTTTAGTACCATAACTGGGAGAAGTGCTAATGTGTAGAAATTAGAAATGCTACTAATCATGGTACAGGAAGTCCCCACAGCAAAAATGATATGGCTTTCAGTGACAATGTACCACTACTGAAAAATGCCAACCTAGAAGAGGCTATATTATTAGGATTTGAGTACTTGGGAAATTTTACAGACTGTAAGAACTAGTTGAGTAGGAAAAGCTATGATTATCCAGTCCAATTCCAGCACATTAAAAGAAGAAAGTGGGGTCCAGAAGCTAAAAGATTTAACCCAGAATCATAGAGCAATCCAGTAATAATCCTGTTTGTGTCAAGGAGTTATGGCAAAGGTAAGTAAGATATTTATTTATTTAGCAAATACTGACTGAGCAGTAAGCACACAGGATACAACAGATATTTTCTTGATGCTGGACATACAGTGGTAAGCAAAACAGTCAATAAAAATCCAAAACCTGCCCTCATGGAGCTTATTTTCTATGCAGGGGGAAATGATAACTAACTTGGACACAACGCTGGTTGATCAGTGACATTTAGGAAAACACAGCAAGGAAATGGCACAGGACATACAGAGATGGCAATTTTGAAAAGAGTCATCAGGAAAAAGAGTAACTCATTTGAGTATGTTTGGTTAAGAAATGTTTCAAACAGAAGGAATAAGAGGTTCAAAGTCTCTGTAACCAAGTGGGCCTGGCAAATTCAGGGAACAGCACTGAGGGCAGGATTCCTGGAATAGAGGGGCTAAAGACAAATATAATCAAAGATGAGGTCACAGAGGCAATAGAAGCCACTGGGTTTTGTGCACAAGATTGAGACCAAGTGAAATCTGTATTAAAATGAAAAGAGAAGGAAAAAAGCAGCACAGCTCTGTGTACTGAAATGGATTTCAGCTTTCTCAACAATCCAAAATTATCTTCAAGATTGTTAATATCCATGCAGTTTAAGTGGCTAATTAAATAGCCTGCTGAAATAGACACAAATAGGAAAATACAAGATGTCAAACGAAGGGAGAGAGAGGAAAAGCCTAGACACTTCAGTAATAATAGAAAAATGGCTGAGGTATTTTCTATTAAGGATTACCTTAGACTTTGTCTGGCTTTAATCTAAGTAAATCTAATTAAGCTGACATTTGCAAAAATATATTTTAATATGTACGATATAAAAAGTAATTTAAAAATTATACAGTTAACTATGTAAAGGGTAAATTATCCTCAGTGCAAATTAATTAGTGCACTGGTTTGGTGGGTAATTTCGTATACCCTATATAAATCACATCCTTTTATTATAGCTTCAAACTAGTCCCACTGTTAGTCTAAGATGGAGTCAACAATTTCACAACAGGATATAATCTATTGACATAATAAAAAATCCAATTATACTTGTAACAAGACTATACATTAAAAACTCAAGTAACAAAGTTGAGAAAAATCTATAAGATGACCTAACAATTTCAAACAACAGTAATACATTACATAAATGTAGGATTTTTTTCAAATTATACGATGTTTTCAAGTGTAATATCTTATTTGGAATTCTTTTACACCCAATTAAAGAGGTCAATATTAAGACAACTTTAAAGATAGGAGAGGAAGGAGATGCTATACTCACAAAATACTAAAAAATATGTAAACCAACAGTAGTACATCAAGAAAAATAAAGATGAGAAAACTGCTGTTTAAGAAATTAGTAACTTGCTTCCATGAGCTCCACACTGCCATGATCTCTTCCACTCTACCACATTCATTTAAAAAATGTGTTATTTCCCATCACTCGTCATAAGGGAGATGCAAATTAAAACCACAATGAGATACCACCTCACCTCAGTGAGAATGGCACATCTTCAAACAACTAGCAACAACACATGTTGGCGAGGATGTGGAGAAAAAGGAACTCTCCTGCATTGCTGGTGGGAATGCAAACTAGTACAACCACTATGGAAAAC